GTTTTAGCATGAACGTGTTAATAGGTGATCACCCAACACGTAGCTTCTCCACACTGCCTTTTTATAAACCCACAGTGAAGAAACTGTCCAAGAGTTCAGCATCTTAAAAGATATGTAGGATAGGGGAAAGCAAGGACTCACTGAGGCAGAAGCCACACTTTGTAACTTATGCCCACACATGACCATTCTTTGGGAAAAAAAAAAAGCCTATTGTTTGACTCTACAAAGAATCAGAACAAAGCATCTGACCCACTGTACACAACAACAAGCCCAACAGGGGCACAGCCAAGTCTTCCATCCTTGGCTTCACTGCCCTTGAGCCACCTCCCCTCTTCTAACTGTGCAAATTGAGAGCTGTACTGTGTCCTTGAACTGTCTCAATGGAAAGCTTACAGGGTGTGGGATGTGTGGCCACAAGAACCTGCTGCTGAAAATAAGACCTCATGAAATCAGCACATGCCAATCTTGATAAACATGTACAACCATAGTTTGTGATGGGAGGCAGTCACTCCTACTATATTGGTGTCACCACCACTCACAGACTGTGAAGTTTGTCTAGAGAAAGAAAAATGTATGACTTTCGGTGGGGATTATCCAGAGTCTATTTTTATAATAAAAGGACAAGTTTCACTTATTGACAGCTAAAACTGATATCCAGCATTCCATCCCACCCTCACACCCCACCACTGCAATGCACCCTGGGAAGCAGGCAGGAGCTAAGTGACCATGGTCAAGAAAGTCTGGGGGAAGAAAGAATTCTCCCTTAGACTGATTTGGACTTATATTTGTAGAGAAACTTTGAGGCTAAAATATGTGAGACTCTGGCCAAGGCATTACCAAGAGTTTGGGTCCAGGTATGGCTAGAATCATGCCCCTTCTGCAACCTTATCACCTTTGCAAACTTCAGCCAATTCTGAACTCATGAGAAGACTTTACACAACTTAGCCATAGCAGCCAGAAATCTGTTAGAAATGCATGTCTCAGCAGTTTGTATTTCAGCAAGACGTTCTGGTCAGCCTCACACAAATGTGTTCTCTTTCACCTCTAACTCTCAAGGAAACCTCACTCACGGCATCCTGCAAATGTAGGGGCCTGCACATGTATAAGCCTGAGGATAGACGAGCCTTTTTAAAGTTTGTTGGCATGGAGCCTGATATTTCAGGGAGATATAAAACTACAATCTTGGCACCTAAACGCTGGCTGCTGTCCTAATGAATGATGCCTAGGGTCCTAGAAGGGCAAGCACCCAAGTTCAAGGCAAGGCACAGGGTTGATTGAATTGGGGGAAAAATAGGAGGTATTTTTATGCATAACATCCCCAGGCCTTTCTGGGGTCACTGGACAAGGTAAAACCTGGGGTGACAAGACCCATTCTCTTTTCTCTCCATGATGACAACATGGGGATAGATGAAGCTAGAGAGATGACAACATGGGGACAGCCTTACAACTGCATGTAAGACACGCAGCTAAGCACTTGTCTGCTCCCATCTTTCATTTAACCTTCTGCATGTCTTTTGTGATCTTGATTTGATAAAACAATAGAAGTATGAACAAAAGGTTGAGTAACATTGGCATATTTCAAGATACAAGTAATGATTTTCTATTGTCTTTCAAAGCTGTTGCCACCGGCATCGGAATTTCTCCAGGAGTAACCTCCTCTTGCCCTACTTGTCTGACGCCATCCTGTTTTGCATTTACATATCAGAGTGCATCACCTGTTCAGTTTAATGACCACCAGTGTGTTTCCAGCTTCTCTTGCCCTAGAATGTGAGCCTCACAGGACCAGAAGTGGTCCTGAAACTGATGTGAGCCCTGTCTCTGCACCTGACTAACCTGCCCCATTAAGATCCTGCCTGATATAGCACATCACTCCTCCTTTTGGAATGGAAAAACATTGAGTACAGAAAGTTGCACAGCTGAAAATTCTACCTGATCCTGCAGAAGATGGGATTACATATTTAAAGAGTCACACACACAACTGCCACTACTGATCACTGTTGGACAGTACATAGGAGAGAGAACCGTGGTGATCTGCACTTCATAGCTGCAGCTTTAGCTCTGTGTGTCCTTGGGAATGCTGAAATATTTCAATCTTGGTGCTTCTGAATTCTCAGCCCCACAACAGCTCCACTGATGCCCTGTCATGGTCGGTGTTACACATACACCTTATCTCTCTATGGGACTGAACTAGAAAAGGTGACCAACATATGCTCATTGAAAGAAACAAATATTGGAGGTAATTTTTCTTGTCTCCTATAGATCCTAAGGGAAATTTAAGTTTGGCTTAGGAAAAAGAGTTGGTGGGGTACAGACAGCATGAGTCCAGTGGTCAGGTCATTAGAAGAGGAGTGGTAGCTGCTGTGTTCCTGACTTTTACAAAGTGAATCAAGTAAGTGTGGGACTTCTTCCCTCCTGTCCTTGGACTGTTAAGCTCAGGGTTTGTCTGAGGACCGCGTTTCCTGTGCTGTGCTATGCTGTGCTGAATTGAGCCTGCTCCTTTCTGCCAAGAACCCTGAGGATGTTGTCCTTTGCTCATGGGTGAAAGGCAAATATAGCAAAATTCCTTAATCCTTGAGAAAAGAGTCTACAAGTTTTTACTCCAAATGGCCTTTCAAAGGTGATCTGTAAGAAAGCAGAAGCAGGACAGTACACATCCCAAGCCTTATCACAAAGGGAAACTTAAGAGATCTTTGAAAGAGGAATCTTTCGATTGGGGGACATTTACAACTGATGTGAATATGGCTTGGACATCACTTATCTGATGTCCTGAAAGTGGCCAGCAGTCAAGAACCATGAAGTATGTCTAAAAACACAGATGGCAACAGAAGAAAGCAAAATGGAGAGGGCTTGATCATACCTCCATTTGAGAAAGAGGCAGTTGGTGACAGCAAGGAAGGAGGGGTCTATATCTCTCTGTCCTCTTAGGAAAAAGTGTGGAAAAGAACTGGGACAAGATACTTTGCTAATCAGGAGCCCAAGAAAGCAGAGCCCAAGCAGTCTCCCACTCCTCCGCCAAAGAACAATCTCCCCGGAGGTGATTGCACTTACCCTGAAATCAGGTTTGCATTAATTTACACATTAAAAATAAAACACTCAGCTCAGAAACCACCTGTCCTTCTAGCTTCCGACCCTCTTCAACCAATGTCAAATATTTATTCAACAAATAATGAGGCAAGCAAAGCCTCCTGTCACATGTTCCCCTTCTGTTAAACAGTGTCTGGTAAATCAGGACAAATGTACTATTTATACCCTCTAAACAAACACAATCCCTTATGATACAAGTAACCAAACCACACATAATACAACTATACAGCACTGTAATTATGCAAAAGTAATGATGCCATGAAGATGACAATGACTTCACATAATGGAAAATAATGAGCTTCTTTGCTTAGAAATTAAATTATCCTAGAAGTCCCTATTGCTAAATTTCTCTGCATTGATTCATATTTTATAGAAGGCAATGCCAGCTGATGGAGGAGGATCAGCTATTACCAAACACTGGAGGAGTGGTAACCACTCCTTGTTTGACATTCTGAGTGCTCAAAACTTGCACTTTTTAGTGAAACATGTATCTTAGTACCCACTTTTCCAGATGACTCAACAGGAAATACAAATAAAGCAGCACAGCCAGGAAATCTGTGTGACTTGTTGATGGCCCATGTGCAGAGCTATAAACAGAAAAGCATGCAAGCAAAGTTCTATTCGCTTATATGGGTCATTCTCAACGTTAGCAGAAATCACGCTCTGCAGAGCTCACGTTCATGCTGCTCAGTAGATGGGCCTGCTGCTGCCCTTAGCTAGCTGGGCTGGTCACCATCCTTTCTGCATTTTCTTCCTTCCAGCACTTGTCCCTATCTTGTTTCAGCACACACTGGTACTAGGCAGATCTGAACACCTCCCTTCTGATTCATGAACGACCCTGGCCCACATCTGCAGTTAAATTCCCACCCTATATTCTACCTACACTATCAGTTAGACACACAGTTGTCACTCTACATGCACCATGAATTGTGAAATAATATAATTTATCTGTCCTTTGGAAAAATCAGAATCACGAAGTATACTGCAACAGGTGATCAAGCATAACACTATTCAGGTATCAGTGATTCTATAGGTTAAAGGAGACAAATATGAATTTAATAATTTTTTCTGTATGTAGATAAGAGTAATGCTTCCTTGTAATTGACCTCACTCTATTAGAACGACTAACTTGTCCCTGGAGAAATTGTAAGCCTGAATCCCCTATCATCAATACATACGAACAGACTGTTGTTATTTACCAAATGACCAAAAGAAAAAAAAAAATCTGAGTTAGCAGAATTAACAGAATGAAGGAGGTAGGTGGCCAGGAATGAACCTTACCAAACACACAATGGCTGTCTGCACTTTGCCTTTAAATCAAAGAACTTCTGCCACCAGAGGAGCCAGATCCCGGGAGAGAAGGGGCTTTCCTAGGTCCCTGGGCTGCAGAGTGGAAGTGCTGATCCTACTGAGCTGAAGAAGCAGTCAGTGGGGGTAGCAACAGCAGAGCTCAGCCTGCCTGTGGGGTCTCTCTCATTGTGCCCTGGGCACTGCCAGGTCCTGTGTGGTAAAGCTCCCCGAGGCCCAGCACTCTGCCAGTCTATGTTAAGGAAGGACAACTGGCAACAAAGAGCGAAATGCTAGGGGAGAGAAGGAATCCCTCCTCCCTCACTGTCTCACTCTTAACGTCAAAGTAATCAAAGGTTGTTTATGGAAAATTTTAGTACTTTCACAAATTTGTATTTTGATTGAATTTGCATATCCCATTTACTGTTAGTCAACATGAGGAGAGACTCAACTATTTTAAACTGCCTTTCTCTAGGACTGAAATTCTCTCAGAATTTTTTCATTAGACAATTCAATTATGTCTAATGTGGCAATTTCCAGGGGATTCGAATTTTGCTTAAAGAAGCCGATGTGTAAAGAGAGATCAGGAAGGGGGAGAGGGTGAACACAAGAGAAGAGACAATCGTTACCTGTCTTCGATGCTACACAGATCAATGTGTAAACCACTAAAATTCCCCAGGGCACCTTGCTGAACTGAAATGAGGTCCTTGGGCTGGTTATCAATGAAGATGAGCCTCATGCAGCCTTGGAAAGCCTTAACGGGACTGAGACATTGGGACTCGGTGAGATGGTCGGGGCACCCTGTGGGACAGAGAGAAAAGATGAAGAGAAATGCTGAGATGATCGGTCTTGGCTTTGGAGACTTATCATGGGAAGACCTGCAGGTTTCATTATTTCACTGCTTATTTATTCACAGCAGTGCAAGGATTTCTGCTGTAAATTCTGCTATTCTCAGGGAGGGGAAGAGATTTGTACAGAATGGGCCATGATCCCTCAGCCACTGCTTAAAAACTGGACGTGTGTTAAAGGGAATACTTATGCTACAGAATCTATCTTTATACTTTTTTCCCCATTGCTAAATTCTTAGCCTCCTTCTTCCAACGGTATCCTTCACCCATCCGTCGGATGAAACACATTGGAATCATTTGGAAATTCTGATTTTTTTTCAAAACACACATCTAAATGCAACATTCCTTCCTGAATTACACTTTCAAAGAAAAATATGCTTTGGATATAAAGATGACAGCAGAGTCATTGTGTGCTTAATTGTCAACATTAACAGGCTTGGCTGCTGAGAAAGTACTCACCGGGACATTACTAGAATGTTGAACTGATTGGGACAAAGGACTTGAATGCACACAGAGCACTATAATAACCTACATGAAAGGTTAGTACTCAAGCTTTTAAAAGTATTACTTTAAAAAATTATCGCACTGCTTTAGCACAGGTGGCAGTCATCACATATCCACCTGTTATGAAGGCAGAGAGAGAGCAGAGCGAGTATAGGGAGGGGGTGCTCACCTGCCTGACAGATTTCTCAACGGCTGTCAAAGCTTCACAGTATGTGCCAATGCAAGGTTGAAAAAAATAAATGGCAATAACCGTAAATAACTGGAAATTATGCCAACCCTTCCTGATGGACACACACTGCTGGGCTAGTGCCCGGCGGCTGGCTAACAGCTCACAGGCACGATGTGCAATGAAGAGAGATGCTACAACTGCTAACTGACACTGCGGAGAGAATATACGCAAGTTGACTGTTATTACTAAAGCTAATTTTTACCTTCCTCAATTACAGTCGATGTGTGATGTGTGTGCTTAGACATCGCACACACAGAGAATCTTCACTGGTTGAGACCAGTGCTCCTTAAAGCACACCTCTAACAACCCCACGTCTCCTTGTATGCTGGAGGAGCATCGTTTTCACCTTTCAAGATGTCAACTGTGTATTACATGAGAGTTATTTTTAAAATCATCCTCTGAAATCAACTCAAGATGTTTTTCCTTTCTCTCTCCCTAAAATGTGGCTTAAGATGGCAGTTAACGCAGTCTGTGAGGTATGCCCTCAGGGGTCACAGGATCCATGCTCTTTGCTGCATTTGCTCTCCTTTCTGCCTGCACTAGGGGCCATGGAGGGCACACATCTAGTCAGGAATTCTGGTTCACATGTTCCTTGCTTTCTCCACGGATTTGTACCATGCCTTCACGTACACAAGTCTTGCTATCTATGAAGTGGAATAATACCTACTGCAAAGATGTCACAAGAAAGAAAACGAGACCCACATCACCTTTGCAGAGAATGGCACTGCATCTCTGAAGATTTGTGGCTTTTGCACAGTTGGAGATGATGGGAAGTGAAGGATTGAAGCCTTTTCTCACTCTAAAGTCAGACCACCAAGGTATTGCTCCACACAATCCCCCTCCTAGAAAAACCCTATGCAGGGCCCGGCGCTATGGTATAGTGGTTAAGGTCTTCGCCTTGCATGCCCGAGATCCCATATGGGCGCCGGTTCTAATCCCGGCAGCCCCACTTCTCATCCAGCTCCCTGCCTGTGGCCCGGGAAAGCAGTCGAAGACGGCCCAAAGCTTTGGGACCCTGCACTCGCGTGGGAGACCCAGAAGAGGCTCCTGGCTTCGGATATGGAAGATCTTCCTCTCTATCTCTCCTCTGTATATCTGCCTTTCCAATAAAAATAAAATAAATCTTAAGAAAAAGAAAAACCCTATGCAGACTTGTGTGCGTCACATATATAAAATCCTTTTCAGATTCCTAAACTTCATGCACATTTCATTGGGAGCGAGGAGAGACTACTGTGGACTACAGTGCATTACTTCCCATAATGCCGCTTTTCTGTTCCTGAATAGAGAAAATGAGCAATTATATACCAGATCTCAGCCCAAGCTCATCTCTCTCAAGACAGAAGCCAGCTTCACCATTCCCTGCATGTGGCCAGCACTGGTGTCTGCAGTTTAGCCTCGATTCCCTCTCCCAGTGGTTCTAAGGATGAGCCTACCACACCCCATCTCAGAAAAAGTTGTTTAGGTGTCTTGTTCAAGGTCAGATTTTCAATATCTCTCTTCAGAGATTTCATGTGTGATACAATTGATTAACGAGTAGATATTAATTTAAATTAAAAGTCTTTAAATGAAGTAAAAGTGTGTGTGTGTGTGTGTGTGTGTGTGTGTGTGTATTTCTTTATTGGCAATTTATTGGGAAGTCCTTTATACATTTTCTATATCTAAATCAGCTATATCATCTATATCTATATAGATGCCCATACACACAAGTGTTTCAAATGGTGTGTGGAGGTGTGGGCATTTGCATCAATGTCCAGGACTTCACTTGGGATGCCCACATGCCACCTCAGAGTGCCTGGGCTTGAACCCTGGATGATTAGTCACCCCAGGTTCCTGCTACTGCACACTCTAGGAGATGACAGGTAATGGCTCAAGTAGCTTGGTCCCTGAGCGGATCCAGGAGACCTGGGATGAGCACCTGGTTCTTGGTTCTGGCATGGCCTGTCCTTGAGTGTCTCAGACATTTTGGGGCATGAACCAGCAGGTGGGAGATTACTGCCTATTTATCTCTACCTCAGTCTCACTGATTTTCAAGTCAATAAAATGAAGAAAGAGACAAAATGGAAAGGAAAATATTATTTTAAATAAATCACAAATCTTTTAATTATATACATATATTGATCAAGTCATGCATGGGTTTCATTTTTGCACTCAAATAAAATTGGAATTCCACTTTCCATGAATTCTTTGAATTCAACACATTATATGTTTTTCATCCTAACTATCACTAAGGTATCGTGCTTGGAGAGATTCCCAGGATTCACCTAGCATAGGAGACGATGGAATCAGAGCTGGCTTTTCTCTATGGAGCTAAGTGATCCTGGGCCTCTGACCCCTCCCAGTCCCAGCTACCCCAAGCCATGGGCGTGGACTGTAGGCATTGAGGAGGAAACTGAGGGGTCGAGTAAGAAAAAGGTACAGAAGTGACTGAGTCAGCCATGCTGGATGCTTCCACCCGAGTTTCCTCCTTGCAAGTCCTGCTGAATCTTAGTGCATCTGCTCCAAGTTTTCAGCTGAGTTTTTCTTCCCAGTGTGATCTGAGAGCCTGACAGAGCTGCAAAAATGTTCTTTGGCTGTGCTACATAACCCCAACCCTTATAGATGAAGCTCACCCCTTTCTCAGTCCTGTCCTAAATAATTCATATTTGTACAGCTGAGACATTTGGCATCTCACTATCTTAAGTATGCATGAGTATGTGTAGGCAAAATGTATAAATAACAATGCAAGATCCAACAGAGTGAAATAATTGCTCCCTACATTCCCCCACAATCCCCCATCTCAGTTTTCAACTTCATATTCTGGAGAACTTACCTCCGAAGTAGTAGCTGCTTCCTGAATAAATTTGCACCGGGGTAGTGTCTTGAGCTGCGGATGCTGCGTCATTATCGATAGTGAGAGTGATGCGGTTTCTTCTGGCGCTGATGCTGACCGCATGCCACAGGCCATCATTCAGATTGCTGCCTGGAATAGAAACAGGAAGGACAGGTGTAAGGATGACTGACTCTCTGAGGTCTGGAGGCAGTAGGTTTCCTTGCTCCCCCACCTGCTGTGGCTGCATGCATTCTCAGAGCCAACCCTCCTCCCTCGGCTCCCAATAATTATCAAGGATCATCTCCCTTCATCTTACAATTCAATCTGTGTGTATGTCTCTCTCTTTCATTTCTTTTTCCCTTCAAGACTGCTTGCCTCCTTTCCTCCTTTTTCCTTCCTATCTTCCTTCCTTCCTTTCTTTCCTACTCCATTCCTCTTTTATCTTTTGAAAATGGACAGCCCAATTTTACAATGCTGGTGTTAAATTCAAAAGGGAAAAACAAAACAAAAAGCATATACTGGATAAGTTTATCTCTGACAATGAATGACAAGTTATTTAACAATACTTACTAAAAGCATGTCCTATATTAAATGATCAATTGTTACGTATATGCAAAATGAAAGCCCAAAAGGAAAATAAAGTAAATCTCAAAATAATACCAATGGTTTTGTGCACCACTGGATAGAGCTATCATGTGTGAACAAGGGAGAAAGCAGGAAAGTTGACTTACTCCACATGAGAATTCCAAGAAGGTTTTATATCAGGAATGTTTGGAAAATGCTCAGTTGCAATAACTTGGACAAGAACTGCAGAAGTAAGGAAGCCGACAGGTGAATGCTAAGGTCATGCATGGGAAACAAGACCATAAGATGGTAGGTGGAAAGTGGGTCCAATTACCCAGAGGCTGCCCATGGTGAACAGGTTTCAGTCATTTCGTTAAAGAAATAACTTCTGGGATCCAAGTGAATCCCAACAGAATGGCATTTTAAGCATCTGCATTCAAAAAAAAAAAATCCTGTGTGTTTCTAATGCACAGTTAGGGGAAAAATACTCTGGGGGCTTTTGTCATGTTTCAATAGGCTTGTCTTTCACCTGTTAGCACCAATTTGTGGCCTGGCTGCTCCTCTTCAAATCCAGTTTCCTACTTAGGGCCTGGAAAGCAGTGAAGGATGGCTATGTCCTTGGAATCGTGCACCCACATGGAAGACCTGGAAGAGCCTCCTGACTCCTGGTTTCAGATCGGTTCAATTGTGGATGTTGTAGCCATTTGTGGAGTACAGCAGTGTATGGAATATCTTTCTGCCTCTTTTCTCTGTAAATCTGCCTTTCTCATAACAACATGCAAGTCGTTAAAACTGACATTTTCTTTTTATGATCTGGGAGTTAAAGAGTTGACATTGAACAACCTGGGAAGAGGTGCACGTGAAGAATCCTGGGACCACAGAGCAAGGGATAGACCTTGGAAGGGTCCAGGTTAGGGATACAGCTCTTAGGGACCTGTGGTACAAAAGCCCCCAGAGGCAGGATGAGAGACTCTCAGCCAAAGCAGCAGCAGAAATAGGCAGTGAGAGAGAGATGGAGAGGTATTTGTGGAGGTAAAACAGACCAGCTGTGGGAGTGACTGGAGCTGGAGTCTAGAAGCAACCAGCTGGGAGGAAGGTGCTAAGGGCCAGAGCCCTTTCTGAGTGCTCTCACAGGGGTAAATGCAGAGCCGGTACCCTTTAGCCCCCAAACAGCTGGACAAGCTGCCCAAAGAATTTAATAGCAGGCCTGGGATCAGCTGCTCTGACCCCAGCACGGCTGCACCCCATCTGCTCTGAGCATCACAGATGTGGGAGAACCCTTAGAGTCAGTCTCCATTGCAGCCCTGAACAGCTGCTAAGCTAGGGATCAGCACACACAAGTTAGCCTCACAGTCTCCTGAGGGCAGCAGTCTGCAGGCAAGGCAGCATGCAGGTCCTGGTTGCCCACTAGTGAGCAAGAGATTCTGACATTTCCCTTTTGGTGGACATTTAACTACCTTCAGGGACACAGCCAATTGTAGCCGATTAAAAGTGAGTGCAGGTAAAGCTTCAGACTCTTTAGACTGGAAGAGAATCGGCAACTAGTTCAATCTATTCCGGCCAATTAGTCCCCAAGGCCCAAAGCCCTGTTAGATGCCAGGGTACAGCAAGGAAGACAACACAACACAGGGGGTGCCCACTAATCAGAACTCTCAATTACTCATTTTATGAATGAAAACGGCCCAAGAGGTGACAACGTCAATGGATGCGTCTCATCATGTCACATCTCTGTTTCAACTGCTGTCACATACTGAGTTCCGTTATTTGGTTGTCTGTCCTTCTTATCTTTCTGATCTTTTCATTTTCACTTTGCTATTTTCTATACGGGCATCAGTTCACTAAGGCAGACTAAAGTACTCCATGAGAAATTTTCAAAGGAGAGTAAAACAAAACAAAACACACGCACACAAAAGCAACAGCAGCAACTAGGAATACACAAGTAATTTATGAGAACTCAACCCGGAATTAATTCCTTGTTAAATAAGGAGGCACTGGTTCCTCTAAAAATGTTTCTTTTCAAATGGGCCGTTCTCTTGCACTTCCCTGCATTGGTGGAACCAGAACAACACCCCTGGGAATCCCTCCGTGTGGTAGGGAGGAAAGTTCAAGGATGGGCTAAGAAGTTTCAAAAGTTGTGGAGTACCAATTCTACCCGACTGCTTGCTGCCAAGCCTCCCCCAGGTAGACACTGGGGAAAGAACAGAATTCTAGTTTTTCAGCGTGGAGAACAGGAAAGTGAAGCTTTCAAAGAGACGAATACCTTGAAGGCAATAAGCAACAAGAGTGGAAAGTAGGTGGCGGGCACCACCTGCCGTCAGGTGTAAGGGCTGAGGCTGAAAAGATGGATCCGGTTTCTGAGAACTGGATGAAAACAAACAAATTTTCTGGACTCTCTTTGGGTCGGCAAAGAAAAAAATCCTGTTACATCTGCCGAGGCTCAGAACAGCGGATCCTAAAGCATGGTTCTCAGCGTTCTGAGTCTTTGACCCAAAGGCTTTGGAAACGCCCGAGAGTAAGGCCTCTCTGGCTCTCTTCTACTGCTGTTCGACATTGGGGAAGCTCAGACACACTTGAGAGAGGCTCTTAGCTCAGGCAAAGCTTATAAGCAAGAAGCTCTCGGGGACACTTCCACCCGGCGCGATGACTGCAGGTGCAAAACACACAGCCCGGGAACCTGGCTTTGGAGTTTTATAACTCACATGCGAGAGGCAGGGAAGGGAGGCAGAACAGAGGGTTCTTGTTCTGCGCACGCTCTGAGGATGTTCTGCGCATGCTCCACGAGTCGCTGGGCACCTGTTTATGTCGTGTAGCTCCGGCGCTAAAGTCAGTTGGAGGCAGCGCCTCTGGTGGTAGCCACTGGTTACTGTAAACATTGCCCTAGGAATGAGCCAGGAGTGATCCATCCCGGGGCTCATTCCCACTCCACCTCAGGCCATCATTTTGCGCTGCACAGCCTCACACATTCCTGCTTCTTGCCTCCTTCCTACCGTGAGTGAATCAGAGAAACCAGCTGTCTACGCCAAGGTGAGCCATGGAAAATAGAACTGCCCTCACGGGAAGCCTTTCACAAATATTCCAGAGATCATTTCCTTTCCTTACCTTCTCCCGTAAAGCTCCAGAGGGACTAGGCAACCTGGGCAGGGGTATGGAACACTACACAGAGAGACCAAGAAGAATCCAGACTCCCCTCTCGGTCTACCGATATTAGATGGCAACCTTTGTCCCATCATGTCTACATGGCTCTCTACTCCACACACAGCATACAGTGAGATACTACCCAGCCGGGCATACTGTGGAGATTGCTTCAACCCTGGAAATAACTTGTTACATGGTTCCGTGGTGTGTTCCTTCACACAATACCTTTTTGGTCAGGGCCCTACCACTTATAATTTCTACAGATTTACACAAGATCCTTAACCTTGCTAAACTTGCTTACTTATCTATGCAACAGAAACAGGATTGACTGACTGAGAGCGTGTGGGTCTTACATTCCATGGAAAACCCATCTCAGCTGCTTTTCTGTGTCATGCCATACCTGGCCTTAACAGTTCAAAGGTGGGGGAGAATCAAGATAGCGGAATAGGGTAAGGACATGTTTAAATGAATGGAAAAACATTTAATCAGGATGAAGCAGAGAGGACACATTTCAGGAAATAGGAGAGGACAAAACAACAGCAGAGGGGTACCTGGAGACTGACAGACACAGGAAAGCAGCAAAAACAACGGTGTGGTGTTGCAGTGACTGATACTCCAGTGACATTCAGCTAACAGCGATCTGAACCCCACCAGCAGCCAGAACTCCACCAGCAACCAGGAGGGAAGAGACTTTCACTGGGAGCTCGGGAGGTGAACCCAAACAAACAGCTGTCTGTCCTGCTGGTCCGTTTGATTTGACCAGGAGCAGAGACAGAGCAGCAGATCCTACACAGACAGTGCAAGAACAGGGTGGATTTCACAGCCCAGTCAGACCCCTAGAGCTGAATTGGGCACCATTTTGTGTAAGGAGGTAAAGGCAAGGGAAAGGATTGCACATGTGCTGAGCTGGGAGTGAACTCATTTCTGACTCAGTGAACTGCAGCAACATGGCATTCTACGGGTTCCACCCAAGACAAGTATGAGTAGCACTCAGACCTGACAGCTAGCATATCAACAACTCTACCAGTGGCACATCAGGTGCCATTTTGTACACTATGGCAAAAGGTTTAGGACCGCAGGGGGACAAGAGTGAACTGTGCTGAAGTCACGAGAACTCACTGAGTTTCAGTGGGTTACACTGATACCACAGGAAAATAATACCGACTGTGGCACCCAGACCTAATGTCCAACGGGTTCCGGCAAGATCAGCACCACCAACAGCCTAGCTATATAGGACACCTGGTGTCTCCCTAATCCTGGGACCTATTCCAACCGGAAGTGGGAGAAAGTTTGCAGAGACAATGGTGCAACCTCAGCACGGTATCACAGGAGGTGGGGAGTGATGAGTCAGGAGCAAGGGCTATGGAGATCACGGTGGAAATCTAACCTAAGAACCCAGACCTGGAACTCACTGGAGGTTGTGGCACAAGTGGCTGCAGGCAAAGAGCCGTGTACCAATGGCAATAAGTAAAATCAAACTGTAGACCTGTGGGTGACACAGCTTAGAAATCTGCCCCAAGGAGAACAATCAGATAGCTAGATGTGCAATGACCAAGAGCAAAAGAAGACACAAAGGCAACATGAATATTACTGAAGACTCCCCTGCAAAGGAGCAAAACGTTATGCCAACCTCAGAGTTAACTGAGGAAGATATCGAGAGAACGGGGAACACAGAATTCAGAAAACTTGTTATCAAGCTTCTTATCAACAATGAGAAGCACATACAAGGGAAGAAGCACATTTAAGGGAATGAATGAGAAGAAGGAAGATCTTTTCAATCTCTCTCTTTTTTTTTCATCTCTATCCGCCACTCGATCAAATATAAAAGGAAATCAGTTTTCTTTTACTTCTTTTTGTTTTCTTCCATTCTCCCAAGTAAGTAAAAATCCTGTTTAATTTGTATGGAAAAAATGAGATATTTTAAATTTCCCAAATGCAGGAAATTCTCCTAGAGGGGAAAAGTACGCAGGATTTTTCTGAGGCAGAATTTAGGCACTCAGGCAACACAATTCATAAACTTCTCTTGCTTTGGTTTTTGTCAGGCAAGTCTGAAATAACTCATAATGTCTTTCCCCTTCTGCGACCAGGAGATGTGGGAGCACTTGCCACTCTTTCTCAGTCACAAATTCATTTTAATTGACTGCCATGTGCATAATTATACAAGAAACTCCTGGAACCATTACGACAAAGAGTCACCATGGTCTGCACTGTATCAAAACTGCATTTTTGCCCTGAGGCCTACATTCTCTGTGCTCAAATATCTTCCTAATTAGAGAGAAATAGCCCAGTACCAGTTCACATTTTTCTGTTTTAAATAAGGAAGATTTAGGTTTAACTTTTATGAATCTGAACATGAAAAATATAATTCTAAGTGACTAAATCATCTTCACTATTGGAAATCTCATATTTTTTTGGCTCCTCTAACTGCACAAATTCACTCATGGCTTTTATGATTTATTATAGTATAGCTCCTTTTACCTCTAGGTCTTATGTCAGAATAAAAGAAAAGGGAATTTTAACATAGCTGCTCAATATTGCTGAGAATTAGAAACATATGAATCTCCTTTAATGGCCATCATAGTCCTGCTTATTTAAATTATTTAAATGACAGACAGAGTGACAGACTGCTCCCAATCCACTGGTTCACTTTTCAAATTCTCACAAAAGGTGGATGTAAGGGTGTGGACTCATGTCTGTCAGGTGGGTGGCACGCACCCAAGTCCTTGAACCATCACCAGCTATATCCCACGGTGTGCAGTAACAGCAATCTCAAATTCTGGCATGCTAAGAGGAGATGTGGCCATCTCAGATGCAGATGCAGTCAAAGCCACAATGCAGGTATTTGTCCCCACTTGTTTTTAATTTCCCATGATGGGCCATTCCTATGATGACCTAGCAATCCATCTTTAAGGATATCCACGCCTACACACAGTCGCTTCCATATGAATAGACTGGACTTTGTCATCCACATGGGATGAGTACACTGATAGCAGAGTGCAACAACAACCCCCAACAGTAGGATCTGTTGACTGTGGTTTTATCTGTTGTGCTCTCTGTCACCACCTCCAGGCTCCCTTCTGGAAAAGCCATGAGGGCGAGAATGGCAGTGGATGTCCAGAGGCTTCCAGCAGCCCTGTGAGTACAGAAGCAAATTTTCTCCTAGGAATCCCCATCAACAACTCCACTGTAGCTTCCAGGGAGTTTCCAAGCCATGATCACACAAATCAAGTGTCCTCTCTAATCCTCACCAACAGAAGCTGGGACACAGTATCTCCAATCACAGACTTTAATATACCCAAAGCTATTAGCAACTAACACACCGCTATTTGTATGAACTAAGATGCTTAACCAGGGCCACGGAACGAAAGTAAGTCTGCCTTTGAATTTACCTGTGTGAGTCCAAACTTCAGGCACTCCTGCATTTATCAGGGACCTAGCTCGCTTTTCGGCTCCCTTAGTGACATTGGAGGCTATTGCGTGGTGTGAACAGGCTTTCACTGGTAAGCTATATTTTTCACTATTTATCAATTTCCTTTCATGTGTTTGATGACAATTTCACAAGTCGGGGCGGGAGGGGAGAAGGAAAGATATTTAAACTTTAGAAAAATCAGGCAGTCGAGTCCTGCATGATCGACGTTGTCCCCGAGTGCACAACAGAGTGAGATCTGAGGAAGAAATCATTATTCAGGGAGGGATCTCAAAGGATCCATGGGCTGATCATCGGGCCTCAGTCCCTAGCACAGATTCTGGCATGTTGGTGCAAATTAATGTCTATTGTACATTGCAATAAAAATATAGTGTTTCCCAAATATCAGCCATTTATGGATCATTAAAAATAAAGCGAAACAAACAAAAGGCACTCTTTAGACTGGCGCTGTGTTGCAGCAAGTTAAAATGCCTCCTGCAACACTGACATTTCACGTTAAATCCCAGTTACTCTCCTTCCCATGAAGTTCCCTATTGGCAGAAGATCGTAGGTGCTTGAGACCCTGCAGGAGTCCTGTTTCTGGATTCAGGCTAGCAAGCCTTGCAGTTTGTGGCCATTTGGGGAGATAATTTTTTCTCTGTCTCTGCATTTTAAACGAATAAGTAAATAAATCGATACATATTTTAAAAATTGCTATATCCAGATGCTATATGTATTCTTATTGAATTATTTGAAAACATATATATTACATAATTCAATATTACGTAATTATATAATTATATAATGCAATATTATATAATGAAATATTATATACTTATATAATGTAATGTGTATATATATTTAAATATGTGTTTTATTGAATTATTTACTTGTTTGAAAGGCAGAGATACAGAAAGGGAGAGAAAGACAGTTACTCCTGCTGCTTGTCCACTCTCCAAGTGGCCACAGTAGACAGGTCTGCGCCAAGCAGAAATAGGATCCCATCCAGCTCTCCTCCGTGAGAGGCAGGGATTCTAGCTCTTGAGTCGTCTCCCACTGCTTCCCCAGAGTTGCCTGGATCTGATGTGGAATTACTGGGATTTCAAAAGGAGCTCATAGGACATAGTATGCCGTGTCTCAACCCTTTGTGTCTTGTCAATCCCTCAAATAATTTCCTTGAGATTGAATTGAAGATTGAAAGAAAGGGAAGAAAGGAGGGATGAAGGAAGGAAGGGACAGAGAGAGAGAGAGAAATCCCCTCAGGAACATATAATTGTGGAAGCCGTTTCTGTGACTCCACTTCATCATCTACAGAGTAGAAAACATCCCCTCCTACTAGTGAGGCAGTGAGAATTCCAATCACTTCAGATGCAGTCTGCAAAGGGCACACATAGCCAGGTGCTCCGTCAGTGATTTGAAACTTGCTTTTATTTGTTTTTTTCCTAACAAGAACAAAAATGCTGCCTTTATAGATTGGAGCAGCTGTGCAACCACGGGCCTTCCCATGAACCCTAGAGCCAGCTTCTGTGTGTTTCAGAAGAGCCTTCTTTCTGAACCTGGCTGAATAAGAAGCCCTCTTGGCCGGCATCAGCACACATACCTGTGAGGATTTCTGCGACGTGCTGAGTGGTTCTCTGGATGAGGAGCCTCAGGATGCCGCCCTCCAGGCTCAGCAGCAGGGTCCCCGAGCCCTCAGACAGCTCCGTGGACAGAAGCACCCCATCCTTATTCCATGTTCTAAACTGGAAACTCACTGAGAGCCCATTGATTCGTGGGGTCCCAGGCAGCAGCAAGTAACTGCTGCTGGAGTTGACAAATGTGACGGGAACGATGGGTGGTTCAGAGCAGGAAAAAGTGACATTGCCCTGGAAAACAATAAAAACCAAACATGGAAAAGCCATCTTTTATTCTGTATTCTGAAAGCTGATAAAAACGACAAGCTCAAGCTGACCTCAATTTCAGGATCATTCCACATTCAGCTGCAAAATCTTAAAAGGGGAAAAAATGTCAGCTTTGCTCCAAGACACATCTGAGATTGTTTTTTCTGTGTGAAGGATAACAGCATTCCCAGCAAGAAGGCCATCAGAGACAGCAGCAAGGGAGGAATAAGGGAAAGGGGCTCTTCCTAGGGCACAACAGTGGTGAAAATAGTGATATTCACTTGCATAAATCCACATGGCATGCCAGCCATGTGCCAAGCAATTGGAGCAGTTTTTTAAAGATGCATGTGCAACAGGTTTGCAACACACTGAAATGTGATAAAACAGAAGTGAAGCGCAGCTCCTGGAGGCGCCCAGAGGAGCAATAGTAGGACAAGCAGAGGCTCTGTCAGGAAATGAGGTTTACATAGTAGCAGACAAGAAGGAGTGTGAGTGAGCAGTAGCTGACATGTCCATCGAGGGTCAGTATGCGAGCAAAGTCTAGTAGAAACTAGTACAATGGCATCTCAGGAGGACGGAAGGCCTCTTTTGGTTTGCAGGTAGTAAGTGGGCCATGAAGAGCCAGCGAGAGAGGAGAGGCAAGAAAGGTGAGTGGGAACCGCAACAGAGAACACTCTGATGATTGCCACAAAGTTTCCCTTCAGAGTTAAAACACATTGGAGGACCGTGGGTCACACATTTGATTTGATGAAGGTATGTTCAGTGACACTGGGGGGAGAGTGGATGAAAAGCCTGGGGATATGAAGTGTGTACGCCATAGAAGCAAGACAAAGAACACCATTCTATGCTGCAGAAGCACTGGGGAAATGAAACTAAGAATAACCATGAACAACCACAGTAATTGTCTGCCCTGGAAAGTTGCAGGAATTAAAGATTGTCACATGTGCCCAATGGAGCCATGATCTTGAGCCACTTCCAGTGGATGGGCCAGGAGAAAGCCTGAGCTATTGTTAACATTGTGAATATGTGCCTAAACATAAAAATTATTTGGAATTCATATTTAAAACACATAGCCAGCCACATCATATTTCCCATCACTCCCATTTGAATCATTTAGGCTCCACACATTCAGGTTTGCAGGCATGCAGTAAGTTAGTTCAGGAAAGCACATCAAAGTAGATATGGCTGTCTCCTTTCAGGGCTACCAAACGCCAGCCTTTGCACAACACCTTGGTTCAGCCTTTTTCAGCTGCTCCCGTAGCCAGCATCACATATGCAAGAATATGAGGGATTCCACTTAGTTTCAGTGGTTACCTAAGGGGTGGGAGTTCATCCTGGTGGTCCAGATGGCTGCTCTTGCTTCAGAGTATCTGGATGCAATAACCAGCTGCATTTCTCCATTGGAGCTTCCTGCCAGTGCATGTTCTAGGAGACCATGGGGATGAATTAACAGATTGGCTCCATGACAGGGAATACTCGGATTGAAATTCTGGCCCCTGATTTCTGGCTTTGGCGCTGACCCAGCTCCATCTGTTGCATTTGGAACGTGAATCAGCACACAGAAGCCTCTCTCTCTTTCTCTCCATCCCTCTGAAAAATGTTAAGAATGAAGAAGGAGAAGATGAGGAGGAAACAACCAACCAGAATGCCAACATCCCTGTATCCCAGTGGGATGCTTGGTGTTCCATCTCTTCTCAGAAGTCCAGCATCCTGCTCTACTGTACACTCTAGGAGGCAGCAGGGATGACTGAAGTAGTTGAGCTCTTAACACTCATAAGAAAGAGCAAGAAGGAGCTTGTGACACCTGGCGTTGGCCTTCTCAAATCACTGTATTTCACAGGCAATGTGTGAAGGATAGGTAAGCAGATGGGAGCACTCTCTCTGTCTCCTTCAAGAAATAAAAATTTTAAAAAGATAAAGGAATGACAACCTGGATTTAGCTTTCCACTGCAGTGGCCTGGTGCAGCAGCAGAATAACTAAAATAGATTTAATTCTAATGTTTATGAGCCCTAAGCATGATTATAAATATCCCCCCCCCCGAAGAGCATCTCTCCCCTGTGTTGCTGATAGCCTTATGTTACTTGAAACAACTTCTACCAATGGTAGATTTCTAATGAGACACTTATCAGTCATTCTTCCAAGGGCATATTCTCACACTGTTCCTCTGTAGTGGTGATTCAGGAATTTTGTTTGGGATAGATTTCTGGAAGTCAGGGAAAGTGTCAAAGGGAGGTGCCCTGCATTTTGGTGAAGAAACCCCTTACAGATTACACTGCCCTCCATTCCAGGCAGTAGCCTCAGCATTTGCATATGCAGATCATGAATCATGAACAGCAACGCCTTCATGCAGTTTCACTCCACTTCAAGGGCACACAGCTTGGGTTTAGGGATGACTGAAGGCAAATCCACATTGTACTGGTGTGGAGGCTTTAATTTCTAGCCACCACTTCTGATGCTTACCTCCTTTGCTCTGGATGACACCCTATGTAAGCCTGTATCAACTTCTTCATGGTATGTCCTAGCTGTTTCAGTGTGAATGTTTGGATTTCTGCTGTGTGTCCTGTGGAAAGAGCTAGTAGCTGCTACATTTGCTACCAGCTTTGTCTTGTGCTGATGTGATCAGTATTGGAACTTCCAGAATGCCACAAGGAAATTATTTACCCAAAGTGGCATCTAAACCTTTGTTTCCTGGAACAATGGTGTAATCTGAGCAATAGATATAACTATATCCTCCAGTCAAATATCTGGACAAGCACCCTATGTAAACCCTACTTAGTCTTGCAGTGTTTATCCTGATACGGATGTTTCTAATCTGCCCTTACTGGCAAATGTTTTAGCTCCCAATGGAATTTATGCTCCTTGAATTGCTATTCTCAGACTCCCAAAAAAGAACCTGAATGCTTAGTAGATGATACGAGGCTATAATTGGATTACAGAAACATCCCTCTCACCCAGACGCACACAAGCATTGATGACTTAGTAACTGTGTCATGACTGCCATTTGGAAGAAACAAAATTACAAAGTCCATATGGAGAAATTAAGAGATACTAGTAGCCGTTATTATTATTATCATTATTACTACTACTTTCAGAGATCACTGTCAATTCTTTTGATGACAGAAGATTAGCTGTTTCAAGATGTTGATGGGGAATAGTTGGGAAGTGGTTGGGGAGATGAAGACTTTTAAAAGCACATATGATCATAAAAATCTGTTTTATCTCTTGACTCAAAACCTAAAGTTCAACTCCCCTAAGCACTGTATGCTCCTGGGAGACAGTGGTGGAAGGTTGCTCTCAGGTCAGTGGAATGTTCCAGGCACTAATAATGTTCTTTCCTATTTAGTTTATTCATGTCCTTTCTTAGCCTCCTTTTTCTACATTATTGATGGGGCTCAAACTTGTATGAGGCTCAGAAGTTAGGATACACATGGATTAGACCCCTAGAGCAGGAATTTCTAATAAATGTTGTTGGGAATTCTCAGTGTTTAAGGGAAGGCTGGGACTGGTGACCAACATCTTACTCAACAGGGAACAGGGAGGCCTCAAATTACACTGGATAGGTTCTGTGCCCTTGCATGTTCCTTAGATGTCCTGTAGTGTCCCTCTTCATTGACGGTCACGCTCCTTTCTCCTGTACCTTAATTCCTTTCTCTGTTTTTCTAGGTCATTGTTGCCCTTGCATCCCTGAAGATGCCTACAATTTGATTTCAGTACGGGTCTCTGCTATGTTTTTTCATGGTAAACTCAAGGATGACTAGCAGAGGAGTGGCTGGATGTGAATTCCCTTCCAAATCAAATCTGACTCAACTTTCCAGGAGAATGTAGGAGTACAGAGCTCAGCTCCCACATCACTCCTGCTGTATGCCGCTGCTACTGCTACTCCCCATTTCAACTGTGCTCCTTGCCAGCAGAGGAGCTGCACAGAGTGCTGAAGACCATCAATGCTAGCCCCATCCACCAAGGGGGTGGGGGGAAGGACAAAGAAAAAAACACTAGCTGTGTGTAAGAGTGCTATTGTATAAATCACCATGTGCTAGATGATCATTTTCACTCACGACATTTGTGATTTCTGAGTAGTCCTTAACTGGCATTTGATGGAGGAGCAAACCATTATTTAGAAAAGGCACCCAGGAAGACAATCTGTTTCAGAATTGTATCAACACAGACTTGGACCATGGTCCACAGATTTCTGCCTTATGTAGCTCTTTCCTCAGTTTCTCCAATTTTATTTTTTTTTCCAGTACAGAATATTGGTTCAGTTTTCTTATATACTATTTCTGCATATATTTGTATGATTATTTTACGGTACAGTTCCGTAAGCTCTGGAATTTCCCCTTCACCCTCCCCAGGTCCCTTCCCCCCACTGATTCCTCTATATTATTACAAAGTAAAATTCATCATAAACAGGCAGATGTCCAGCATTTTGCTGTTTAAGCATATCCTGATATTGTAAGTATGGACAATGGAAGAGCATCCACTATCCCATTCTCAAGATATATTTAACGGTTTCACTGGGAGCTCACCTTTGATTTGGAATTAGAGATGCATACTGCATTGTATCTTCACACCTGCATATGATAGACTTTATTACACAGTTACTATGGATCCCCTCAAGTGAAAAGCCATAAAACAAAATCAACAACAGGTGGAAAGATAGAAAATTTGCAGCAGCATGAAGTTGTATGCCTTGCTACTGAATGACCAATGTGTCCTTGAATAAGTGAAACATAAAATTTAAAATTTCTTGAAGAAAACAATGTTAATTTATGACCTTTGTGTCACTGAGGAAATTAAAAGAAAAGAAGCAACTATCGAATAAATGGAAATAAAAACACCAAAATACATGAGATTTGGCAAAAACAGTATTGAGAGGGACACGAGGTGCTCACAAAAAAAAAATTGCAATAACTCAAATAAATGATCTAGGAATTACTAAAAAAGAAAGGAGCAGGAAGCAAGAAATGATAAAACTCAGAGCAAAATG